CCCGGTCTCTCCATTGTAATTTTGAAGTGGTATATCTTAGTCAAGGAAAAGCTTATTTTAGAAAAAAAATATAGGTCTAGGATTTTTGGAGAACTGATTGTCCCTATGGTTAATTGCCTGATTAAATAGAATATGCTTAATCTTTGTGAATTTATTGTCCCATCTGTTAAATAGTAATGACATGATCCACATATTTCACAACTTTATTTTAACCATTTAACAAGCAAATGAATATTGTATGCCTTTATAAAAAAATAGTAAATTATCTTCATATTCTAGAATTAAGGTAGTATCCATTCCAGCTGTCGATGCTATCAACCACTGTATATTTTATTTCATTTAATTTTTTAAGGATAACTTTTTATAGCTACCAGAGGCTTTTATCATCAGTACATGGTTCCAACTGCAATATCTTTCAGGACAAAGGGAGCTCAGACTTCAAAAGTCATTAAGAGAAATACAGGTACCCAGTGGAAAGAGGGGGAAAAAACTTTTATCAAGAAAAGCCTAGCAGGTTAGCATAAAACTAGGGTACTGAATTATTATTATTATTATGATTACATGTTACAGATTCAAATCACAGAACTGCCCCAACATCTAGACAGTCTCTTCTACTGATTATAAATAAGGGCAAACTGATTAGATACAAAAAAAAAAAAATCTAATTTTAGTTGCATATGTTTCTTTGGTGAGCACCTGGATATAGTAACTTTATCACAAATCTTTTATACGGATGTTTAAAATGTTTTCAGCAAATCTAATTACATGTCCTAATCATATGCTACTTTTAAGTTTCACTTGAAGATAAACAAATTTTTTTTAAAGTAATTTTATTTTTAAACTCCAGAAACTGAAAGGAGACAAAATCAACATGGTAATGTGAAAACTTCCTATTACAGTCTCTGAGTCATGTAGGACAATTCCCAAGTACCCTTTTTAGACTAATTGGAATTTGAATCATGGATTAAACATGGCTGTCACATTGAAACAATTTGTTCATTAAATTTCTAAAAAAGTAATTTTGAGGGTTTCTGATTCAGTACCACTTGTTTTAAAGAAATGTTCTCATTGCCTCTATTTTCTGTTTTAACTCACCTGCATGTAATACAACATTAATGTCTCTTATACATGTCATAATAATGTTTGTCTTCTCTGAGTACACTTATAATTGAATTTGTTCTCAAATACAGCAATACCATTGTATTTGCTTAGAAACCAGAGGGTTGTCACGCAAAAAATGTTTTGGTAGATGAATTTCAGGGTTTAACAGTTCCAACTGTCTATAAATCAAAATAAGGAAGCTTTTTCTTGACAAATGAAATCAACACCCTGTCTTAAGTAAACAGATAACCCTCCTTGAAAAGGTCAGTCTCTAATGAGGGTGGGACTTTCCTTGTGTTTATATACAGAAATAGATTGGGAGGACTGCTCTATTGCTCCCTGGTCTTCTTGCATCAAGCAGCTATCTCCATTGTCTTCACTCACATCACCATGAAGGGCATTACTGCTTTTGCCATCCTTTCTCTGGCAGCCACCACATGGGCCACTTCTCCACCTGGTGAGTCAGAATCTCTTTCCAATACCCAGGCTTTTATAGTAGCTGTAATGTAGTCAACCTCTTTTAAATTATAGAAAGCTAAAGTTTAAAAAGAATTTTGAAGATATCTATTTGGATTGGCCTGGTGAATCTAGCTGGGTGGAGTAGATCATCAGGGAAAGGAAGACTGAGAAGAATAATCGAAGGACTGTGGCTCTCTGCTCAGTTCCTGCTCAGGATCCTTTGGGTTTATACCTTTTAAGAAACAACCCAAGCAGCTCTTGGACCATAGCCCAACCCTATCCTGGATATGCCTATAGGAACTCCTGGTTACTATAACAACCCACTGTTAATGACCACAGCTTTCCTTCTCGTGTATTAATTTAATTTAATTTTTTTTTTTTAAATCAAGACCATTTGCTTTCTTTCTTCATCCTGAGTTCATACTTGAGTAAAGAAATGACCTGGGCAAAAAATATTGGGAAATAAATTTTGTTTAAACAATACATTTAGCTTTGTACTTCTAATTGTATAACTTACCTTTTCTCCAATTCCTTCTCTCCAAATGCATCTGACTCTACTCTCTTCAGCAAAAGGGGTAGCGGTGAGTATAACCTTGTTCACATTGCATTTATAAAAATTAAATCAGAGTGAATGTGTGAAAGGAGCTGTGAAAGTAGCTAAACTGAGTCAGTGGACTAAAATGTTAAACATGTTTCTGGTCGGTATGGCCTTGTAGTGTTTCTCTTTTTTTTTTAAGGTTGCAAAGGGAACCTCATGGCAAAAAGAGAACAAATAAAGCAAACTTGTAAGATTGGACATTATTTTAAGTTTTTTTCAGAGTATTTTTCATACTCATTATTCCATTGGGCTCTCATTGCAAGTCTGAAAAGAGAGATTCATATTTTCTCACTAAATGGTATTTCTCATGTAATCAAGGGCATGTTCTGATTGGATTTATTTCTGTAGCATAGCACTTGGTTCATGGAAAAGTTTCCAGATGGGTTTGCTGAAAATTAGAGTATAGTACTCTTTCACTCTCCTTTCCTTTGTTAACTATTTTCATATGCTAATGATTGCAGATTGAAAGAAGGGAATATGAGGCGTTATTTTTTGTTCCAATGACAGGTGGACTGTTCCACATATAGCCAGATAGGCTCAAAGAGTGCAATGCCATGTCCAAGGCACTTTAAACCATTATGTGGTTCAGATGAGAAAACTTACAACAATGAGTGCCTGTTATGCGCGCAAAGCAGGTAAGTATAATAGTAGATTTGGGACTTTATTTTCTAGATCATAAATCCCAAACTAGCCAACATCTACTTGTTTTTTTAAAGCATATTTTTACAAACACTTCTTTTTTTGACACAGTCTCCAAAACTCTTTTGGACATTGCTATTAAAATAGTAATATATTTTTAAAAATAATTATTTTTTATTTAATTTTACTTATTCATTTATTTATTTTAATTTGATTGGAGACAGAGAGAGAGAGAGAAAGAGAGAGAGAGAGGGAGAGAGAGAGGAGAGGAGAGGAAGTAAGAAAGCAAGCCGCCAGGTTCGGGACTCAAACCGTGGTCAGCCATGTGGGAATGCCCAGTGCCTTAGCCACCACACCACCTGCTGGTCCCCCAAATAGTAATAATTTTTTAAAGTTTTGCTGTATTTTTAAGGATATATATATTTCTTTGCTATTTAGTCAAATTCTCATTCACATTATACACCATCACTGGGACGTTAGCTGCTACCTATAAAATATTTTTGTGTCCACTTTATATTTTTAAAAATTAGGTCTTAGTTGGGAAAAATTTCATGGTGACATTTCCATGAATCTTTTATGTTACACTTTTCTCCCTAATAGGAACTGAGAAGATAGCTGTTATTTGGGCTGTTTGTCATGGACTCATAAGATTCTGATCTATCCTTCATACCATAGAGAAAATCCATGTTGCTTTTCACAGTCATCTGTGAAAGTCTAGGGAAGAAAGAGACAGTACAAATGAAGAGTTGGAATTAGAATATCCCAACTATTACCAATTCTATGAATTTAATATTGTCTTCACCTTTAGCATGATGTAAGCTTCTAGAAGAATGACAAAGTGGTTATTACCAGCCATTCAAGTAGTGTTCACTTCTTTATGATCAATGGCTGACATCATGGGCTTCGTTGTTAGACATCTGGATTAAAATACAGATTGCATTTAGTAGATCTATGACTTTTGACAAGTACCTAAGCCACTATGAGCTTTAGTGTTCTCATCTGTAAGGCAGAAATGACAACAGTGTTTCACTAATAAGATTAATTGTGATAAAACACGTCAGATCTTAGCTAAGCTTCTGACACAGATGAATAAGCTCTTCTTTCTACTTAGCCTTTTTCTCCTCCTTTTCTGGTATTTTCCAACTCTTCTGAAAACTTAATAAAGTGAAATAGCAAACACTGTTCAGAATAACGTCTCTCAGGACACATAAGTTCTTGTGCTAATACTTCTATGAGAGATTGATGATTGATGAGATCTTATTGGTTATTTATTTATTGAGCTGTTGGGAAAGTTATGATGTATTTTTCTGTTTTTCTATGCAAAAATGTATCATGACTTTCCAGAAGACCCAATAATATTATCTTTTTTAGTGGACAGGAAAGAAGTAATTATAATAAAATTGTATAGACTCTAAATGCCAGACATAAATTTGAGCTTATATATATATTTTTTTTAATTAAAAAAAATTTTTTTTTGGAGAGGTTTTTACTATAGGGCATGTGCGCTTGCTAGAAAGACAGACAGAGACAGAGAGACGGAAAGCAAGAAATCACCTCCCTCCCCCCACCCCCAGTGGGAATGGCCACGCCTCAATCCCTTCTCCTCCATTCTCCTTTCAGGATCTTGGACATGCACACACATGTGCCCAGAGTCAGTTTAAGCCACCGGGTCTGGGACTCAAACCACAATCGACTACATGGGAGTCCTGCGACATAGCCATTATGCCAGCAGCTGGTCCCAAGATTATGTATTTTTCTTAACTGCAATGTTCAGAATGTTTTCATGCTCTGTATTTTCCTAGAGTTTCATCTAAATAATCGTGGGCTGTTTTTTTAAACGGCCAGTCTTCTTTTACTGTTGTTTTTCTTATATTCTCAGTTGTTTCAAAAAATGATCCTTTGGGCATGGTAGTCAAAAAATGATTCTCTATTAAAGATATTTAAGGTCATTATTAGCCAACTAGAGTAATAAATTAACCAGAACTCTTCATTCTCAAGCCAAGTCAAACAATATAAGGATAACATATGCCTATATTTATAGATTATGAAATCTCAAATAATGACATTATACATTGAATAACATCTTCTCTTTCAGAAACATAGGAGTTCCACTCAGAAAACTTCATGATGGCCAATGTGTAAGTATATGCAGTGTATTTATTCTTAGTATACACTAATTCCTCATTTTTGTAGAAACTGAATATAGTCATAATATTGTCATAGATAAGCCATTTGACTTTTGTAAAGAGAAAGCACGAAATACAACAGAGGAGCACTTTACCAACCTTCCTTATAGCCCTTAATCGCGATGCACTGTTATACATACCGTCATTTTCTAATACTGTAATTAATTGGAAGGTCAAGAAGAGTACTGCAAGGGAAATTAGGGGCTCAAATGCACTCTCATAACAAAGTTATAAATAAATCACAAAAAATCAAGAACGTGTATAGAGACAATTCTGAGGTGAAGAGTATCATGAGTGGGATGTCAATTCTGTTTGACATGAGATATAAGAAAACTGTAAATGGGGAACCAGCAGTTAGCGTAATGGCTATGTCGCTGGACTCCCACATAGTCGACCGTGGTTCATGTCTCGGACCCGGTGGCTTAAAAAACTCATGCCAGGCATGTGTGCGTGCGTGCCCAAGATCCCGAGAGGAGAATGAAGGAGAAGGGATTGCGGCGTGACCATCCCCCCTGGGGGGTGATTTCTCGCTTTCTGTCTCTCTGTCTCTCTCTGTCTGGCGAGCGCACGCGCCCTATAGCAAAAAAAAAAATCTCTCCAAAAAAAAAAAAAAAAGAAAACTGTAAATGAA